AGAAAAATAAGAAACAGTAAAATTCCTGAAGTCAAAGTTCAAGTAAAAATCAAATAAAACTTACAGTTTGTTCAAATGATCCAAACAGCTGAATGAGAATTTATGAACAACAATAAGAGACCCAACAGAACTGCAGTAGAACCAAACTGGTACCACATCTGAACAGGTGAGTTTAAACTGAAAGTTTTAAGAGGAGAAATGAACCCAAACTAGTTTAACTGGTCAGACTGGGAGTCAGAGGAAAGTTTACCTGCTGACGACTGAAGACATGAATTCTTCTCAAAACTCCCAATTTGAACAGAAGACTTTGCTCCTCTTACTTTTCTGATCCAGGTTCTGTTCAGCTCTAATGGAACCAGAACCTGTTTAAACTTGGAACCAACTGGATTCTTCAATGGTGGGAAATTTATCTCCCCCTGGTGGTGAAACTACAACCTGCATGATGTCTGATTATTAAACCCAGAACCAGCATTTTGAAATGATCCAAACATGTCAGTGATGGTAAAAACAGATCAGAACCAGAACCAGTTCTAATGTTTCAATGATCAGGATGTGAATAAAAGATCATCTGTTCCTCTGCAGCTTTTGAAATGAGCTCAATGCAACAGCAGTAAACATGATATTCAATCATAATTTATTGAAATGAATCAGAACCAAAGTTCTGAAGCACTGAGAGAAAAACTAAGTCCATCCTTTCTGCTTCAACAGCAGGTCAAAGGTCATCAGCTTCAAGAAGCTGCTGGTCAGATGGAAATCTAACTATTTTTATCCCTTTGACACTAAATAACTAAAAGTTTATGGTTTAATGCAATTATGGCATCAAAAAATAATCAAAACAAAAATAAGAAACAAGAATCTATTAAAAATATAAACTAACAGAAAATAATGTGAAAACTGAAACAAAGGAACAAACTCAACTGTATCCTTAATATCACCACACGACTGCTGCTGGACCCACAGAAAAGAACCGCCTAGCAACCGCTCAGCCAATAGGATCCAAGCGTTACATTAGATTCTATAACTCTTGGATTATAGACGTGTTATAGACGGGCTGAAAGAAAACCCATTGTTTCCTTCTAGTGAGTGTGTCTGTGTGCTGATGAATCTGTCTAGATAGAGAGATTCTGTCTATTCTAACAATACAGGAACAATCTAGATAGATAAATGTTAGAAAAGCTGATAAAAATCAACATCCATCTTTTGATAGAATCCTGTGACTCTTTAAAGTGTAACTAACCTCTGAAATCTAAACCAACCCATTGCAAATATTCTGTTCCAAGATGGATCAGAAAATGATTCGCAGGAAGGCAGAGAGTTTTGCAAGGGGAGATTTGATCCAAGGAGAGAAAAGTTTTGAGCGTAAGAAAAAAGATTTGAGGAAAAAACAGTAAATATTTGAAAGAGAGCAGAAGTTTTGAGTTCAAGCATTAAAAGTTTTGAGAGGAAAGACACGACTTCCTGCTTTCAAACTGAATATTCCCTCATAGACTGGAACAGAATGTCCCTGAGTCATAACCTAGACATTCAGACTGGACGAACCGGTCGCTGTTTTAGTTTTTATTTCCTTGTTTCTTCTTTTCTCCTCAGCTGTCATGTCTGGTGAACAGCCAGTAGGTGGCGCTAGAGTCAGGAGGAAAGCCTGGAGAAAAGGCTGATCCTCCCTGATCTGTTTCCAAGCAGTCAGAGTGTAGAAGTTGAGATCTGGAGAAGTTTCCTCCTGTTGCTGCAGCAGCAGAGATGTTCTGCTTCATGGACTAAATCAGGTTGGAAAGAGGAGAGATCTTTACTGAGCTGCTGGATAAAAGCTTCTGAAACATTTCAACTCTTTCTGGAAACTAATGAGACAGAAAAACAATGGATGTTTTTACCATCCAGACCTTTAGAACCAGTTCAGCTCAATAATTCAGTTGTATCTGTGGAAGATGAACAGATTTGATGTGAATGATGAAATTCTTCATTTCTATCTGATGTTCCAGCAGATCTGTAGAAAATGGAGCTGCAGCTCTCAGATATTTCAGCCATGACTGCAGCTGCTGGATTCAGGATGCTGCTTCTTCTTCTTGGGCTCATTGTAAATGTGTGCAGCGCCAACTGGTTTACAAAAAAACAGTCATTTATTTATTTGTAACTATTACAGGTACAAGATTCAATTAAAGATGCACTTGCTGCAGAGGTGGACCTGGTAGTGATCAGGACGACGTCTGTCAAGTATCTGAGGAAACGCCTGTGAAAGAACATGAACAGGAATCATCTGTAGTTCATACTGACCATAATCTTTCTCCAACTGAACCAATTTCATAAAACAGTGCAGTGAAAATGTATTCACTCCTTCTAGATTTCTTCTCGTTTTTGCATTTTTGTCACACCTCAATGTTCCAGAATATCTAATGAAATATAAATGCAAGATTACTAGAAATAATCCCAAAATTAAGGCATTTCTTGGTCAGAACTTGTCTGACAGCATGAAGTAGGCTCACAGTTTGCAAAAAGCAACATGAAAACAGACCAGAAACAAAGTTCAGTTCCTGCAACAATGGAGGTCGGAGCATCAAGAAGAGCGAATGATGTCCATGAAAAACCTGAAAAAAACTCCAGACGACCTCGGCTTCACCTTGGAACCTGGAAAGAGTCTCAGGTGGAAATGTTTACGCCGCGGTGTTCCTGCATGGAGGAGAGATGGAAGAATGTGCAGAAACATCTGGGAAGAGTCCCTGAGAGAACGATGTGAAGTTAAAGGAAAACAGACTAAAAAACTGAACTAGGCTGTAGGAAAGCTGCCGATTGCAATTCTAGAGGACCAGAAATAAGAACCAGTCCTACAGGATTCACAGCATAAAGTCTTTACTCTGGGTTTCTAACTACACATCCCTGAATCCTCCACTCTTCCTGCTTGGGTCTCTGCTCATCACAGTGATTTAAATCTGTAAATACAACCACCTGATTAACCCTTACAGCTTATGAAGCAGGTGCAGGAAATGTAATGTACTGAAGTTCTGAATGATAGTTTGAAACTCATGGTTGAACTTTTTAAAGACTGCAACAAGTGGAACCACCAGCATGGTGTCAGAAACGTCCATCTAACACAGATTGATGTGTTTTATTTAAGAGTTAGATTTGAGTAAAGTGGGTTGTTTATCAATAAGGAACAACTAAACAGGAAGAAGTATAAAAAACCTAACAAGTAATCAATAACAAGTTTAAAAAAACCTAATTAATCAATAACTTGTATAATAACCTAACTAATCAATAACTTGTATGAAAATCTAACTAATCAATAAGAAGTAAAAAAAACCTAACAATCAATAAGTATAAAAAAACCTAACTAATCAATAACAAGTAAAAAAACCTAACTAATCAATAACAAGTAAAAAAACCTAACTAATCAATAACAAGTAAAAAAACATAACTAATCAATAACCTGTATAAAAAACCTAACTAATCAATAACTTGTGTAAAAACCTAACTAATCAATAACAGGTTTAAACAACCTAACTAATCAATAACAAGTAAAAAACCTAACTAATCAATAACTTGTATAAAAACCTAACTAATCAATAACAAGTTTAAAGAACCTAACTAATCAATAACACATAAAAAACCTAACTAATCAATAACTTGTATAATAACCTAACTAATCAATAACTTGTATAATAACCTAACTAATCAATAACTTGTATAACAACCTAACTAATCAATAACTTGTATAATAACCTAACTAATCAATAACTTGTATAATAACCTAACTAATCAATAACTTGTATAACAACCTAACTAATCAATAACTTGTATAATAACCTAACTAATCAATAACTTGTTTAATAACCTAACTAATCAATAACTTGTATAATAACCTAACTAATCAATAACAAGTAAAAAAACCTAACTAATCAATAACAAGTAAAAAAACATAACTAATCAATAACCTGTATAACAACCTAACTAATCAATAACTTGTATAATAACCTAACTAATCAATAACTTGTATAATAACCTAACTAATCAATAACTTGTATAAAAACCTAACTAATCAATAACTTGTATAATAACCTAACTAATCAATAACTTGTATAACAACCTAACTAATCAATAACTTGTATAACAACCTAACTAATCAATAACTTGTATAATAACCTAACTAATCAATAACTTGTATAAAAACCTAACTAATCAATAACTTGTATAATAACCTAACTAATCAATAACTTGTATAACAACCTAACTAATCAATAACTTGTATAATAACCTAACTAATCAATAACATGTATAACAACCTAACTAATCAATAACTTGTATAATAACCTAACTAATCAATAACTTGTATAATAACCTAACTAATCAATAACTTGTATAAAGACCTAACTAATCAATAACTTGTATAACAACCTAACTAATCAATAACTTGTATAAAAACCTAACTAATCAATAACTTGTATAATAACCTAACTAATCAATAACTTGTATAATAACCTAACTAATCAATAACTTGTATTAACCACCTAACTAATCAATAACTTGTATAAAAACCTAACTAATCAATAACTTGTATAACAACCTAACTAATCAATAACTTGTATAAAAACCTAACTAATCAATAACTTGTATAATAACCTAACTAATCAATAACTTGTATAAAAACCTAACTAATCAATAACTTGTATAACAACCTAACTAATCAATAACTTGTATAATAACCTAACTAATCAATAACTTGTATAACAACCTAACTAATCAATAACTTGTATAATAACCTAACTAATCAGTAACTTGTATAAAAACCTAACTAATCAATAACTTGTATAACAACCTAACTAATCAATAACTTGTATAACAACCTAACTAATCAATAACTTGTATTATAACCTAACTAATCAATAACTTGTATAATAACCTAACTAATCAATAACTTGTATTAACCACCTAACTAATCAATAACTTGTATAATAACCTAACTAATCAATAACTTGTTTAATAACCTAACTAATCAATAACTTGTATAACAACCTAACTAATCAATAACTTGTATAAACCACCTATCTCCCAAACATATTCAAAATGACCTTCTTCATGGCGCTGAATGTTTTCCACCGAGGCTCAAGTCTCGTCTCCAGGATCATCAGGACGTTGCTCTCCATTATTGGGGTTCCTGCCTCCAGGAGAAACAGGATGTTGTCCACCTTGCTGCATTCCTTCATCAGGTCCTGGACGATGTTCTTGGCCCGCCGCCTGATCTGATCCGGCCTCATTTTCAGAACTTTGGCTTTGTTCTCGGCCCACAGTTTCTCTGTCAGCCGTTCACAGACGTCACTATAATATTCGGCGGTGTTGGATCTCTGAACCGACATGTCCACCATCCTCTGGATCACGTCTCCAACCAGGCTTCTGACGGCTGCTTTCATCTCTTCATGGTCTTCCTCCATTTCCTTGATGGACTCAGTTTCTGACTGTAGAACCGCCAGTCCAGGTGGATCTGACCCCTGGTCCTCTTGTTCCTCTTCGTCACTGACATGGGAATCTTCATTGTCCAGCTCTGACGAATCCAACACCTGACGGTTGGATTCATCAGATGTGGATTCATCAGAGCTGGACTCCGGCTCTGAATCGCTGTCCAGCAGATCCTCAGTCAACAGGAACACTGGACGAAGGGAAGCCGCCCCGGATTGGATGTTATCCGGTTTTGGCTTCCCTTCTTTGTCCAGTGACTCTTCTGTTGACTGAGTCTCTGGCTCCGAGTTCTCCATGTCAGTGACGTCCTTAGGAACAAAAGGCTCCAGGGGTGAGATCTCCACCTCAGGTTCCTCTTCCATTAGCTCTGGGGTTGCCTGGACGTCCAGAGGAACAAATGGTTCTACAATCTCAGGTTCCTCTTGGACGTCCAGAGGAACAAATGGTTCTACAATCTCAGGTTCCTCTTGGACGTCCAGAGGAACAAATGGTTCTACAATCTCAGGTTCCTCTTGGACGTCCAGAGGAACAAATGGTTCTACAATCTCAGGTTCCTCTTGGACGTCCAGAGGAACAAATGGTTCTACAATCTCAGGTTCCTCTTGGACGTCCAGAGGAACAAATGGTTCTACAATCTCAGGTTCCTCTTGGACGTCCAGAGGAAAAAATGCTTCCACAATCTCAGGTTCCTCTTGGACGTCCAGAGGAACAAATGGTTCTACAATCTCAGGTTCCTCTTGGACGTCCAGAGGAACAAATGGTTCTACAATCTCAGGTTCCTCTTGGACGTCCAGAGGAACAAATGCCTTCACAGCCTCAAGTTCCTCTTCCTGAAGCTCTGGAGTTTCCGGGACGTCCAGAGGATCGACGTCTACCATGACCAGAGTTTTGATGTCTGTGGCCGGCTGATAATCTTCTTCTGATAATCCCTCAGTGTCAGAATCGCTGTCTGCTGGAAGATCTGCTGACACGTCATCGTCTTCCTCCTGGATGTCCTCCTGGTCGTGACTCACAGATGTTTCTGATTCTTCAATAATAATCAATGGAGCCACCTTCGCTGAATGTTTGCCAATTAGAGTTCTAAAAAATCTCTTAATTGTTCCTGCCAGACCTTTAGATTTTTTCTTGGGCTCGCAGGTTTTGATGTCAGCTGATCCATCGAAAAAGTCCTGCATGATGAGGACGGTTTCATCAACCATGTGGCTGATGACGGACCTGCTCGCCGCCTTCTGATCATGTTCTGAATCTGAGCTGTTTACTTTCAGCAGATGTTGTACGATCAGACGGTTCAAGTTCTGCGTGTGTTCATTGTTCAGGTCTTTGTCGATGTCCAGAACTTTTGCAAACGTCTGAGGAACCGTGTTCCCCGGCCGCCTTCAGGTCCTTCATGGTCCGTCTCTCTTTGGGGGCACCAAGCAGAACGTTGGCCGTCAGCAGCTCCAAGATGGTACCAAAGGTGTCCTGTAGAGCAGAGGTGGTGCTGGGTTCTGGGTTCCCGTTTGCCAGTCCCTTCCTCTCCTTGGGGGTGAGGTTTCTGATGAACGGGTCGACCGCAGGCATCAGGGCTTCCATGGTGATGTTCTGTGTCTCGGATGCTGAACTCTGACTAGTTGGCATCATGATTCGTTGGGCTGAAGATGAGATTCGGGTTTTGTGCAATGATAGAGAGACTGGCTCTGCGAGGAAAAAGTGCAAAATGACGTTTAGGGGAAAAGAACGAACAAATAAAGACGATGATGTCATAGGCATCAAACCCGCCCACACAGCAGCGTTATAGCCTCACGTCAGCGTCTGACATCACAGGAGCATGTCAGACGATCGCCTCTCTTCCCTGCATCTCCCGCAGCTTTATTGTTACTATTAATGTTATTATTATTATTATTATTATTATTATTATTATTATTATTATTATTATTATTATTATTATTATTATTACTATTATTATTATTATTATTTCTGGAGGCTTAGGCTGTTAAATGGAAGAAGCTTCAGCTTCATTTCCTCTAAATAAATGATTTTATTTGTCACCTCAATATGAATCTCGCAATATTTAATCTGTTCATGAAAACGCATCTCGGTATTTCGGTTTATTTCTGTTACTGTGAACAAAATGGCTGTAATATCATCAGTTAATAGCATTTATGACTTGCCTGCATTTAGTGCCCATGAAGACAGAACAAGACAGAATTAGTGATAATAAATGACTGTTGCTGTGATCAACTGTAACAAACGTGTGTGTGTGTGGGGTGGGGGTGGGGGGTGTGCGTGTGTGTGTGTGTGTGTGTGTGTGTGTGTGTGGTGGTGTGTGTGTGTGTGTGTGTGTGATTGTTTGTCCTGTCTATCTCTGTGTTGCCCTGCCACAGACTGGCAACCTGTCCAGGTTGAACCCGCCTCTCCCCCTGAACGCAGCTTGAGAGGCAGCAGCAACTCCCAACCCCAGCAGGGATTAGAAAATGGTGTTAGAAAATGGATGGATAGATGGCATTATGAATGACTATATTATGATTAATTTTTCAGGAAAATTATAATTTGTAGTATGACTTGCTTTACATTTTATTGTAATATATGATGTTGGTCTTGTGTATCTTCCCTTCCAGTGTTTGATCACAGAATGGATGACCTGAGTGAATTCCTGAGACAAAGAAATATTCCTGAGGAAACTATTGACCAGGCTGAGAGAGAAGGTGCAAGCTAAAAAACAATCAGTATTTCAAAAACTACAGTTTTTTAAGGCATGTGTCCAGCAATGTTATGTAATTTAATTCAAATAATTTGCATGCAATTCTAGTTCCATCAGTTTTAAATAAATTATTTGTTATTCTCCTTGCTCAGATTGATACCAGCGTCATCCAGCTCATGACAGATGAAGAGCTAAAGACTGATTTGCCATCGTATGGAGACCGCATCGCCCTATTGGGATCCAGTAAAAGGAAGAAAAATGGCCCCCAAACAGTCGCAAAGCAAAACTGTTTGAGCGCCTGAAATCAAAGCTGGGTAAAAGGAAAACTGCTCATCAAGATGGTGGTGGTCTGGAAAAAGAAGAGCAATCTAAAACAAACGTTGAGAAGAATGCTCTGAAGTCAAAGAGACAAATAGAAACAGGCTGGCTGCTTTATGATGAAGACCAACAGGCTTTTAAACAAGTCAGAGCAAGAAGAGGTGGTGGAACAAGGAGGGTTTCAAAGGATGCTAGAAAAAGTGAGATCATCCACAAAGCTGTTGGCATTTTCTTTCCAAATGGAAGAAATAGAGACGGGTCCAGAGCAGATTTTGAAATAGATCTGAAAGATTATCAGGAAGTGGCAGTTGATGACAAAATCACTGCTGGACAAATGTTTCATGTTTACCAAACGGACTATTGTCAGGTTTTACCTGACCACCCATAAAAAGAAGGCTGAGCAGTCAGTCAGTCAGGATGAAGTTTTGCCTTCAGCATTTTTTCAGGATCAAGACAGTTCTGTGAGTCGGCCCTCCTCTTCATCTGCTGTTAATGTTGCAATGACCAGCCAATCCACAATGTCCACAGAAGAAACTCCTGACTTTCTATTTATTGGAAACAGAACAAATCATGACAGTATAAACTTTTCACTTCATTCTGCAGAGCTTATGGAGGAGGAGGATTTGGATAGCAGTGGCATCGTGTTTCTAGGACCGTTTTCTGACACTGAGCCACAGATTCTGGACGACACTTTGGCAAAATCCCCTCAATCCCTGCCAAGGCAGTGAAGGAGATACTGATAGTTCACAGAGGACAGGTACTTCCTGAGCTCAGAGCTCACTTCTGTGATGACGGACTTTTAGATAGAGACTTCAAAATCTAGCTTGTCCTGCCAGATGGACCCCTGAGATGAGTTATGATGACGGTGGAGTCGGTAGAGACTGTCTTTCTGAGTTCTGGGAAGAATTGTGTGACCAGTGTATTGCAGGAAACACTTACAGAGTGGCTTTTCTGAGACATGATTATGGACAGAGCCAGTGGGAGAGTGTAGGCCGAATAATTGTTTTTGGATGGACAAGAGAGAAATGTCTTCCTATGAAGATTGCACCTGTCCTACTAGAGCAAGCAGCCTTTGGACAGGTAAAAAGTGACGTGGTGGAGAATTTCCTGAAGTGCACGCCTGAATCTGAGCGCTTTGTGTTTCAGTCATGGCAGTCAGACTTCAGCAGTGTTGACCAAGAGGAATTGATAGAGATTCTTGATAAGCACAGTTGCAGACGAATGCCCACTGCCAGCGATGTAAATGAAATCCTCCAGGATCTTGCACACAAAGCGCTTGTCCAAGAGCTGCTTATGTTACTGAACAGTGGGCCAAAACACTCAGGTTCACCGGGAACAGCTTCCAGGACCTTTCTTCACTATATGAAAACTTACAACCAAATGCAAGAAAAACTTTGAAGTCCATTGTCTTTCCTCAGGAAATGAGTTTTCATCAGAAGGACATTGAAAAGTACGCTAGCACATACATCAGGAATGCAGATTTGCAGCATCTGTCCTTGTTTCTAAGGTTCTGCACAGGTTCAGACCTGTTCCTGGATAAGAATATTCTGATTGATTTTACAGATTCAAAGGTTTCTCAGCAGACCTGTGGCTCACACATGTAGCTGTGTCCTAGAGCTGCCAATCTATTATGATAGCTATCCAGATTTCAGTGCTGAAATGAACAAGGTTTTGGACTCTAATATTTGGCTCCTGGACATTATTTAAAGATTTGAAAGTGGTGGAGGAAGAGGGGAAAAAGACATTAAGGTGGCTATTTAAAGTAACAAGTTGCCTATCAAGATCTAAGTCGACGTTTTCCCCAAACTTTCCTTGTCAGAATTGAAGGTTTTAGACATTTCCCTGGATGATGTTACCCTTCCCAAATTTCTACAGATGTTATAAAAAGGGATCACCTATTTGTGAAAGGTGAATGCTTGTTTGTGCAGGACAGTAGTTGGTTTGTTTAAGGGTAGATTGTCAAGTCAACAGGGGACAAACTCTACCATACATGCACAAGTTCTGCAATTTCAGATCTGTTGACTGTCAGTGGAATGTCAAAATAATGGATTGTTCTCTGTTGGCAGAATACAAAATAAATATATTTTGAGTAAAGTGTCGGGTCTGTTTATGATTTGTTGTTGCACTGTAAATAAATGTATTGGCCATAATACTGAAAAACATATATACAGTACAGACCCAAAGTTTGGACACAACCTGCAAGAAAGCCACTTATGAACCTGACACACCTGTGAAGTGAAAACCATTTCAGGCGACGACCTTGAAGCTCATCAGGAGAATGCAGAGAGTGCAGAGCAGTGATCACAGCAAAAGGTTTGAAGAAAACTACAATATAAGGCGTATTTTCAGTTTGTTTACACTTTTTTGTTTAGTCCATATTTCCACATGTGTTAGTTCATAGTTTGATGCCTTCAGTGTGAATCTCCAGTGTCGATAGTCATGAAAATAAAGGAAACTCACTGAATGAAAAGGTGAGTCCAAACTACTGAATGTCAAGAGTCATGACAACATTTGTTATCTTATTGAATTAATACAAACCGCAAACAATCATATTGGTAGGAAAACTGTGACAAATGGTGATCTTAGTAATAACGTGATTAAAACGTTGCATTGTACATGTAACACTCCTGTCCAGACATCAACAGTTTCCCTGACCAAGTCAGGGTAAGAAAACAGAGAAGCTGCAAATGCTGGCACTATTTATTGCTGTTTTGAAGAAGAGACTAGTATTTTGCAATAATAAAGGAGATTAAATACATAGAAACTAATAGATTGACCTTGACCTCAATGTTGAAGGTCACTAAAATGTATTAGTGTTTTTAAAAACCACAGAAACAAATTGTAACTCATTCATGCGTTTTAGTTTTACAATGGCAGTGTTTACACAGGACATACTGACATAATATCTGACTTGTTGGATTTTGTAGACCTGGGTGATTTAGAGAAACTATTCCCTCAGCCCATCACGGATCATTTGGCGGAGTCTTGCATAAAGATTAGTAATTTCATAAACATCGTCTGTCATTACCAGTCTGTGCTCTGAGTTCAGTGCATAAGTGAAAGACATCCCAGGGAAAGTCCTTGAAATGGCATTCTTCTATACATATTTCCAGCTTTGTTAGATTAGCAGACTGTAAAGGTTTGGAAGCCCATACAGGTTGGGAAGACCAGGCATTAATGTGGGACGACCAGGAGGAGCCC